GCCACACGGCCGCCGTGCGTATAGCCATATTGAATCTGGCCCACACGGCCGCCGTGCGTATAGTCACTTCCTGCCATTGTCACAACATCCCAATTCGGTACGTGACACCTAGGTGGTGCTCAACGTCATCGTTTTACCGCGTCGTAATTTCAGAACGTGACATGTAGGTGGCGCTCACCGTCGTCCTTCTCGTACTGGCTGATCCACTTGCGCAGCGGCTCGATCCACTTAGACAGCTGCCGCAGCTTGTCCAAGTAGGCCTGCTCCTCCTGCGTTGGCTGACTCGGCGCCGGACTAGCGCTCTGTCCCATTGTCACTAAAAAAAACGGACGGATGTCAAACACGACGTAATCACGAGGAGGCACCTCACGTGATGAGATTACGGTAATTACAAACGATCGACTAACAGTTGAACATTCGTTCATTTAATCGAGGAGAAATTTTCGTAACGTTGATCGGTACATGGTAGAACCTCGCAGCTGCGATAATTTTCCAATTTATTCCGTTGCTGTTTAACCATTCCAAGCTCATCTCACATAAGGGTGCGCATGTATGCGCGAATGCACGTACATACAACATACACATACATGCGGGCGCACACACAATATACACATACACACACACATACACGCACATGCGCATGCACGTGTGCACTCACTCACGCACGCATGCGCACATCTCTCAATTTCTGTGCGCCACTCCTTTAGAAAAAGCCGGCAACACTTACTCGGCGTGTTGAGGTTGACGCTGCCAGGAGAGGGCGCTGGTCGCAGCATCCCCGGCGACGGCACCATTCCCAGCATGCCCGGCGATGGCGACGGCATTGCCATAGATGGCGACGGAACCATCTGTGATCTGTAACAGACGAGAGGTAGCAACATTACGACAAAACAGCAGCAGATATAATATATACATACATATATATTATATATACATATATATGTATTATAACAATAGCACTAAGCAGAATGGAGCATTGAATGCACCACGATTAATCTCACCCAAAGCGATCAATCGGCGTGCAAAACAAGTGCACCTGCGCCTACGTCGGTAACTCATCGCGCCGGCGAGAAACGCGTCTGCCGAACCGCAGCAGTCAACCAGATCTCGCGACGCGATTCGCCGAAATTCTCGACAAACGTCGTCGGGCCAAACAGTACTGCCACCTAGCGAGAGACCATGCAACCGTCATTCGAGGGTTGCTTGCTGCCATCTGGCGAGAGACCAGGAAACCATCGTTCTTTGGGCGCGAGGTTTGACTTAGGTGAGATCGGACGCGCTACTCGGACGTTGCCGCGTGGCTCTCGTGCATCTATCACGCGCCGCGCGTACGTACCCGACGGACGAAGGAGCCTGGAACGTCTGCTGGGGTAGCACGGGAGACGGCACACTGTACGCGGGAGCGCTCTTAGGGGACACCATGTTTCCGCCACTGTAGACGCCGCCCTGCTGCCAACACACAAACAAGAGAACCTCACGTAGTAGAACATTAAACTATTAAATTCATTAATTCAATTATTCATAATAAGCTTCTTAAACTATTTCAGTGTCATTCACCCTCGAGTCTTTATCACAGTATTTCATTCACCTGCGACTAATTTTCCTCATGTTTTTCACCCATTCTCATTCACCCTTGGGTGAAACATTCACTAGTCTAAGAAGCACTGTACTAGATGTGTGCAGTCAGAAATCCTACAGCCTGGCGGTTAAGAAGGAGATGTTGGTAGCGATTTTCGCTGCCGTTTCTTTATGATTTTAGTGATGAATTTTTTATTGTTGTTTTATACGATTAAATTTTGAATTATATATATATACCCAGATGTAAAATCGTTAGTTTCTTTCCACTTTTAGTTCTGAATACTTCTACGTATTATATACACCTTAGTAGGTTTTTAAATGATATATAAAATGTCATAATAAATATCATATATATCATGCAAAAAATTGTAAGATTCAGTCAGTTATAAACCATTATAATTGATATGCATAAAAGTCACATATACCCCTATATATCTATATAATATATATCTATATATCTATATGAAATCTAAATATAACTGAAAGATAACTGAAAAAAATCGAAAGATCATTGCAAGCTGCTATGAGGTGCTGGTACCTGGCCAGCAGTGGGAACAGAGCTTGGTCCTTGCTGTGACAACTGTTGCTGCTGTTGTTGCTGCTGTTGTTGCTGTTGCTGCTGCTGAAACTGTTCGACCATAGTAGCCGACGGAAGCTGTCCCGGCCTCTGTGAACAGGTGAATACGTGAATACGTGAGCGCACTCAGTGATCCATGGCAGTGTGAAGCGATGGGGGAATGGAATACAACAGAGGGACATTGCATGTGACAGCGAGGCACTGCGAGTGACAAAGAAAGAAACAGTATGTGACGGAGGCAGGAACGGTATGTGACGGAGGCAGGAACAGTATGTGACGGAGGCAGAAGCAGTATGTGACAGAGACAGAAGCAGTATGTGACAGAGACAGAAGCAGTATGTGACAGAGGCAGAAGCAGTATGTGACAGAGGCGGGAACAGTATGTGACGGAGGCAGCAAGCAGCTATATGACCAGGAGGCAAAGTAAGCGTATGGTGACACGTAGGCAGAGTGCAAGGTATGTGACAGCAGGCAGAAGCATAATGTGACGACGACGGCGCGAGCAACGTATGTACAGGTAAGCGCAAGGAAGCGTTTATGTGATGGAGGCAGAACCAGTTCTGTGCAGCCAGAGCAGAAGCAGTATGTGAAGCAGAGGCAGGGGAATGGTAGTGTGACGAAGCCGCACGCCGCCCCTCCGCTCACGCACACGCCCAGAAGCCAGTAGTTGACAGAGTGCAGAGGCAGTAGCCTGATGGGAGCAGCGCAGTATGTGAAGAACGCAGAAAGCAGTAGTGACGCGGAGGGCAGAATGCAGTATGTGCACGCGAGTGCAGAAGCAGCTAATGTGACAGAGCATCGAAGCGAGCTATGTTGACGGAGAGGTCAGCGAACGCGTATGCCTGACAGAGGCAGCAGGCAGCTCAGTGTGCCAATGGCAGAAGCAACATGTCGACAGATGGCACAAACTTGCATCGGCGACCAACGTGCGCGCGGCCAGAAATTAGTTCGTCGACAAGCAGCAGCGACCGCACCCGGAAAATGCACACGACCGACGCAAGACGACAAAGCTTAAACCTCTACAGTGCCAACAGCTTTCTCCAGGCTGGACAGGCACAACTCACGACGTCACAACAAATACATTCGATCAACAAACACACGTGCGTGACACGCCGAAGCCATGCCAACCCCGCGAGGCATCCACTGCCAGGAATAGTATTCTGCATCTGCTTCGCATGCTATCAGAGCCGTGAAATCCCGCACTCTGTACCCCCGGGGCGCGCAAGAGGGCGACGCCTTACCTGCAGGTTGGGCGGCGTAGACGCGGGCTGACCCTGCATCGGGGGCTGGGGGCCGCCGTCCCTGGCGCGGCAGCAGCAGCCGGCTGCGCTCAGGCGGCGCCGCGGCCCCCGTGCCGGGCTGCTAGTCCAGGTGGCGCTGCAAGAGAACTGCTGGAGTGCCGCTAGGCTGGTGGCACGCTGGTCATGCTGCGCTGTCAGCTGACTGCGCTGAGTTGCGGCAGTCATGCCTGTTTCCAACCACTTGTGGGAGAGAGAGAAGCATGAGCGCGCAGCGTGTCGGTCAGCGGATGTGCCCGGTGGCCCGCTAGCCACGCGCCGTCAGCGGGTCTAACGATAACATAACTACCACATGACAGTCTAACACTTGCATGTACACCTTACACGCCCTATATTGCATGTAATTATATATATAACATTACCGAATGAGTTGAATGGGGGGGGGTGTCCTCGCTGATCAAAGTGCAAGGCTTTGCTCGGGCAAGATTATTGTTACGAATCATCGGTTAGTAATCTAAAAACCGCTTCATAACGAATACCACTTTGCATAATCACTAACATGGATGAACTTTGCCTGTGGCTGCTTGCCAGACAGATTGCCTGTTGGCGGTTGTTTGTTGTTGCTTGCTGCTAGTTGTTGTTTGCTGCTGCTGTTTTGTTTGTCTTGTTGCTGTGGTGGGCCTGCTGCTGCTCGGCTGCTGCTGCTGCTGCTGTAAACTGCTGCTGTTGCTGCATCTGCTCGCCAGTTCGCTGTCTGATCCTGGCTGGTTGCTCTGCTGCTGCTGATGCTGCAGCCGTTATCTGGACTGGCTGGGGTGGATCCGCTTGGCAGATGATGCCCTGCTGATTGCGCCTACGCCAGACCAAGCACACATGCATTAGTCACGTCTGAGAAAGCATCGCAATGAAAACTGTGGGCAACTTAATTAAGCTTTGAAAACATTTCAATTTCTAAATTCACAATCAAAACCTAATGTTTATTTGAGGATGCAATTCCCAGCGCCATACCACTGGGCCCACACAGAACGCACGCAACGTTACGGACAGCCTTACACACGGCACAGCGGCTGGCCTGGGGTGCGTGCGGCGCACACACCAGGCAACGCATGCATAGCAAGGCCCACACACTCAAGCTGTAAGTGTAACACTCCCACCAGGCTTGCGGCGCGCACGACATACACGCATGCATGCATGTAGGCAGGCACACACACACACACACGCACACACATCGGCACCGCAGACAAGCACACGGCACACGCCGGGAGCTACACACCGCATCGACAGATACATACGCAACAGGGATTGTAACACGCCGCACCACGCACACACAGCACCACGTTGCCACACACACCACCCACAGGCTACGCAGCCGTACGCACACACAGCCACAACATTTGGGGGGACTTGTTTTTTGTAGTTCCACTACGCACCGCACGGACACAGGCAGCGCACGCACTGGGTCACGCACGCACTGCACGCAGGCAGCGCTACGCTGCACTGTTCTGTGGGCAATGCGATAAACGGGCCATTGCTTGCGATGGTCCTCGTCAACGCTGTACGGATCTGAGGGTTCGCCGCCTGTGCTGCGCGACGTGCGCAGTGCACTCATTCGGGTCCTTGCATGCCACCCTGGTTCGTCCCGCCCCCGCCCACCGCGCAACTTGTCCAGCCGCCGCTGCTGCTGCTGCTGCTGCGCCGCGCGCCGCCTGCCGCCGCTGATGCTGACGTTCCAGGGATAGCCTGCTGGCCGGGCACCGCGCCCTGCTGCTGCGGCTGCTGCTGCTGCATCATCGCACCCCGGCCTAGTGGCTTCTTCACATTCTCTGAAATCACACGTGGGAGTATGCGTTAATGATTGATATACAGGATATATAATTATATACACACACATACACACACATATATATATATATATATATTTATTTATCTATTTATGTTGTATAAATTAGGGTTAGGGTTAGGTACAGGGTTAGGATTAGGGTTAGGGTTAGGGTTAGAGTAAGGGCTAGAGTTAGAGTAAAAGCTAGGGTAAGAGCTAGGGTTATATGGTTAGTGTTAGGGTTAGGGTTAGAGTTAGGATTATAGTTAGGGTAAGGGCTAGAGTTAGAGTAAAAGCTAAGGTTATGGTTAGTGTTAGGGTTAGGGTTAGGTTTAGTGTTATAGTTAGGGTAGGGGCTAGAGTTAGAGTAAAGACTAGGATAAGGCTAGAAGTAGGATTAGTGTATGGGGTAGGGCTGTGTTTAGGGTACAACCTGGCAGTACCCATGAAGCTTGCTCATCTTCTGTGGCGACGTGTACGAGGGACGTACGAAAACCAACCTTACACTTCATTCACGCAAGCTTCTGAGCGCCTGGGCGACTGTACTGCAACTGGTCGCAGGCGAGGTTAGAGAGAGAGAGAGAGAGAGAGTAGCGTTTTATCTGGGAACCCTTTATTGGGGGAACCCAAACCCACTGTGCACCCACGCATGCACGCACTCGCCACACGCTCACTCCCGCACATACACGCGCACTCCCGTACATACACGCGCACTCCCGTACATACACGCGCACTCCCGTACATACACGCGCACTCCCGTACATACGTAGGTACACATGCACGCATGCACGCACCCACACAGGCACACGCGCGCGCTCGCACACATAGGCACCCACGCACACGCTCACTCGCACACATAGGCACCCACGCACACGCTCACTCGCGCACTATTACACGTAGGCACACACAGACACGCGCGCATGCGCTCGCGGGCATGAATGCATGCATCATGACAGCAGGAGTAAGATAACGCTGCCATGCTCATCAGTGTATAAACGTACGTGGTGACAAGGACGACAAGGTGACACCGTGACAGTCTTCGACGCACGCGCGGAGATCCACTAATCACATCATATATAGTAGTCAGCCTACGATGAATACAGCCTCGCTCTCTCTCTCTCTCTCTCTCTCTCTCTCTCTCTCAGCAGAAGCAGTATGTGACAGAGGCAGAAGCAGTACGTGATGGAGGCAGAAGCAGTATGTGACAGAAGCAGAAGCAGTATGTGACGGAGGCAGAAGCAGTATGTGACAGAGGCAGAAGCAGTATGTGACAGAGGCAGAAGCAGTATGTGACAGAGGCAGAAGCAGTATGTGACAGAGGCAGGAACGGTATGTGACAGAGGCAGAAGCAGTATGTGACAGAGGCAGAAGCAGTATGTGACAGAGGCAGGAACGGTATGTGACAGAGGCAGAAGCAGTATGTGACAAAGGCAGAAGCAACATGTGACAGATGGCAACTGCATGCGACAGAAAAGTTCGTGACAAGCACGCGACGACGGAAAATGACACGACCAAGCAAGACACAAAGCTAACCTCTACATGCCAACAGCTCTCAGCTACTCACGACTCACAACAAAACATTCGATCAACAAAACACGTGGTGACACCAAGCCATGCCAACCGCAGCATCCACGCCAGAATAGTATTCTGACAAGCATGCTACAGAGCGTGAAATCCACCCCCCGGGGGCGCAAAGGGGACCCTTACCTGCAGGTTGGGCGGTAGACCGGGCTGACCCTGCATCGGGGGCTGGGCCGCCGTCCTGGCCGCGGCCGCAGCCGCAGCCGCTGCGCTCGCCGCCGCGGCCCGTGCCCGCTGCTGGTCCAGGTGGCGCTGCAAGAACTGCTGCCGCTGCTGCACGCTGGTCATCGCCTGTAGCTGACTGCGCTGGTGCGGAGTCATGCTGTTCAACACTGTGGGAGAGAGAGAAGCATGAGCGCGCGCGTGTGGTCAGCGGATGTGCCCCCGCTAGCCACGCGCCGTCACGGGTCTAACGATAACATAACTACCACATGACAGTCTAACACTTGCATGTACACTTACACTATATGCATGTATATATATATATACACATTAACGAAATGAGTTGAATGGGGGGGGGGTCTGATAAAGGCAAGGCTGCTCGGGCAAGATTATGTTACGAATCATGGTTAAAGTAATTAAAACCCTTATAAACTACCACTTTGCATAATACTAACATGGATGAATTTGCTGTGCTGTTGCAATTTGCTGTTGTGGCGGTTGTTGTTGTTGCTGCTGCTGCTGTTGTTGTTGCTGCTGCTGTTGTTGTTGTTGCTGTGGTGCTTGCTGCTGCTGCTGCTGCTGCTGCTGCTGCTGCTGTAACTGCTGCTGTTGCTGCATCTGCTGCAGTTGCTGTTGATGCTGCTGTTGCTGCTGCTGCTGATGCTGCAGCCTTATCTGGACTGGCTGGGGTGGACCGCTGGCAGTGATGCCCTGCTGATTGCCCTATGCAGACAAGCACACATGATTATCACTCTGAGAAAGCATGCAATGAAAACTGTGCAATTAATTAAGCTTTGAAAACATTTCAATTTCAAATTCACAATCAAAACTATTTTTTTGAGATGCAATTCCACCCATCCACGCCCACAGACGCACGCACGTACGCACCTACACACGCACACGCACACACACAGGCACGCATGCATGCAGGCCCACACACTCAACTGTAAGTGTAACACTCACGCGCGCACACATACACGCATGCATGCATGTAGGCAGGCACACACACACACACACACACACAC